GCAACCTCCATGCCCCCTTCCTTGATTCAGGACATAGCTGCAGTGCAAAGACATTTTTCTGTGAAGAGCTTGAAAGAGTTGTGCTAATCTGATTTAAAATAGTGTTTGGATCGCTAGCAGTCTGCCCCAATCCACGGGCAGCCAAAGCTCAGCGATCCAGCGGCCATTTAAAGAAACTTTAGGAACCAAACTTCCGTTTGTTGTCTTGTAAGAAGTGTTTGTGATGCTATTTACTCATTTTCGCATGGACCTCCGGGCTGCACTCAATCCCGTGCTAAACAGACAAATCACAGCTCGTTGTAAGATTTCTGCTGCCTCAGACTTCTCATACTACAGTACTTTGAGATGCATGTGTAAATCATGCTGCAACATAGTCATTCAAAAGAAGAATATATATTTCAAAATGAAAAGCAGTTTTTAATAAATTACTTGAATTGTCAATGTATTTAAGAAATGGACGTTTTGGTATATTTGAAGTTAACGCGCAGTTTTGGCCAGCGTCATTGACGAATTCCTGGTGGCATACGTGGGTGTCAGCTGAAGGCTTTCAGTCGGTGCCGATGTCCTGTGCTATCGAGGGCCACAATGTTGGTTTTAGGCTGGTGAAATCGCCAAGCACTAAAGTACACGTAATCGCACAGGACTTAGGTGGGGTTTTTTTGTTCTAAGTGTCTTGAGAAAGTCTTTTTTTCTTTAAGGTGAATATTTTTTTATTTAGAACACATACTGTGAACTGTGTTCAGACAGGGGAATAATACTACTGAAGAATATGAGACCTTATTGAAGAAATCAGTTGTGAGAAATATTTTAACTGAACTTCTGCCATGAATTTTATCATCTCAATTACATTTAATATATTCTGGTGATGTTCATATATAACAGAGATGAGTTGTATTTCACCCTATAACTGGCATTCATGTAAAATACACAGACATTTTAAAGTGGCTTTAATATTTTATTTTTAAAGTTCCTTGAAGATTCTGCTTTTGGTTAAACGAACACTGTCAAGTACTCCTTATTTTAATCTCTATTTCTGGAAAAGTTCTTCTAGTTTAAAAATCTGCATCTTCTGGCCGGTGCCAGCCTTACCCTTTTTCCCATGAGCTTCATGGATCAGTGTGGTTTCAAATCGCCATTGCTCCACATAGCACCTTCATAAGCGAAGATTTCTTTCACAGCCCCGTCGAGCTGACCAAGGTCTAGCAGCAAAGAGGGAGGAGAAGTTGAAGCTCCCTCTCGCTTCACACCCAGCAGAGGGAATGCGAAACCGTTTCGGGGGGTGAGCTCACACACATTTATTTAGCTTTCTCAGTCAGGGGAAGGGTGAGGAGGCAGGAAGGATGTTTCGAACCCAGAGGGTTTCAATCAGAGGCAGGGCAGGTCCAGTTTTGTCCCAGCCAGCATTTGGCGTAGCCTCATTTCTAAGAATTGGATGTTAAAATCCATATTTGGAGTTGTTTATGGGGCTGTTCAATTACCGTTCGTAACACATGAATATGCACGCTGCCTTGTAGCAGGAAGCTCTATTTCACTCCCCTGTAAAGCAGAAGGAAATAATTATCCATTGTAAACGTGCTGAAGTATTTGTAGTATTGCTAGAAGAATTAACCTGGGGGAGCCCCTGCCAAAGTATCTCCTCCTGTACCTTGGCCAGCCTGTGAAACCACCGCGCTGGCTTCCCCGTGCTGCCGGTGAGGGCTCCCGAGATCTTTCATAGTAATGTTTTTTCTTGGATTTGAGAGAGTTTTCTTTCTAGCCCTGGCACTTCTCAGGGTAGAGTGGCAATGTTTTATTTCTTCATGTGTCCCTTGCCTTATCTTTTGATACAGAAATGATCATATTTTTTGTCACGATTAAGAGGTAAAGTAGAATGATTTTATGTGTTTATTGCAGAAGTTGTGGGAAGAGAGATTTGAAGGGGCTTTTTTTTTTTTTCTTCCTGGTGACAATAAGCATCGTTTTTTGTTTGTTGGTATTACTGTATAGTCAAATTCATCCCGCGTGCTCCATCTCTTTGGACCTTCACTGCAGTAGGCTTAAGGTTTAGTTTCATTCTGTGTTGCTCTATACTGTAAACAATTTTAAGATACTCTGCTGCAGTCCTTCTGGTGACGTGTAACACCTCGGACATGAGACACCGTTAGCGCTCAGATTTGCGAGTGCTGAAGCTGGTAAGCTGCACATCTAGAAATATTTCACATGAGGGTAGAGAAGCTCAAACTTTAACTGCTCAGAAAGGCGTAGCGTGGATTTTGCACTGTTGGGTTATTGCAAGAGTCCGGTCAGATCTGCACTGTTCATGGATGGCAATTTCAGACTCCAGAAGCAATAATTTCTTAGGAATGTTTCTCTTCCTGCTGGTTAGATGACTTTCATAGAGATTTATTACCTAAATAGCCTTTTAATAACATGAATCTGGTCGTTTGCTAGTGCTGGCAGTAAGCAGTTATGGAAAGATGTGGGTTATTCATCATCAGAAGGGAGGAAGCCAGTAAATCCAACGGAGGTTAGTGCTCCTTGAAACTCACAATGTCCTTTTCCCTTTTCACTTGGAGCCTTTTTCTAGACCATGAAATATTCCCGGCTCGGTGGGCTGAAAAGGAGGCAGCTGCGAATTTAGCCTCCCGGTTTTCTTGCCAGTGCCAATGCTGGCATGTGGACCCCATGATGAAACAGGCTTGCTTGAGGTTTTCCATGGAGGCATGGAAGCGAGGGCTGAGCCTTTCTCATTCCTCTGCCGTCTGATCTGAATCCCCCCAGCACTTGGAATGCCAGTGGCAACAACAGTGATTATTGCCAGGTACCTCATTAAAACCTCAGTTCCATCGTTAGAAACGCATCCGCCCACCCTCGGTTTGTGATGAGCATGGCCTTCCTCCGACGTCCACCATTAAAGGCAGGATTGTCATGGCTGCCAGCAGGGTCTTGTGGCCGTGCGCGTTGAGGTCACATTTACGAATAAAGGTGGAGAAAGTCACAGCTCATTCCTGGGAGAGCTCCCTCCGCGTCTGGGCAGGAGGGGACTTCAGGGGGGCCTTCCTTCCCGGAGGCGCGTCGCAGGGGTCAGCTTTCGTTTTCAGCAGTTGCTCACGTCTTCAGTAATCTTGCGTAGACACGTAGCCGGGTTGCGCGACACTCCGTTGTTCAGTCCCTGCGACGAATTGTAGTTCAGTCACTGAGAGTTGGGGTTTTTTAGGTGCGCGTGCGTGTGTGTGTGTGTGTATCTGTGTGTATATACATTTATATACACGCTGCTCGGGCCAAAATATCTTTGGTGGTTGTGTGCTCGTTGTCACTGTACTCAACAATGTTTTCAACTGAGTTCTTCCAGGTTTCCCTCGTCCTAGTCCGATGCGAGACGAGCTCAGCTATAAATATGTATCCTATCTATTTAAATGAATAAGTAAACTCTTGCATGATATTCCAAGCACATGTAGCAGCTTCGGCATCTGAAGTATCTATCGTGAAAGAGAAGTTGGTTTTTTTTGCAGCTGTTTTGTCCTTGTTTCCTTTTAATAGGCCAAATAAATGTAACAAACACCAAATGTTGCACAGAAATGTTATTAATGACTGTGTAGAAGAAATACCAAATTTTATTTTTCTTTGCAGAAACTTTATGGTTACAGCGAGTTCTCTAGCTGTTATTCTTCCTTAAATGACAAAGCTGAACGTTTGTAAAGTGCGTCGAAAACGGTCATTTTTAAAAAGTGGAGCTACCCAAAGTTTTCTGTTTCTCATGTTGCATCCAGAACAAGCCATCGGCAAAGGCGAGCTGCAGAAGCTCACGGATCAACTGGTGGTTTGTTGTTGAGGCTCAGCAGCCCATACAGTTAGGAAATGGTGTTAGATAATAACAAAAAGATTCACCTGCCTTCTCATAATGTCACGCTAGCATCTGCCAGGGCAGCAAGGTCTGCTCAGTAAGATGTTCCAGTTTTTCCCTTAATTTAAATTAAGATCACCTCCTGGCAAACCTGTTTTGTTTGGTTCCTCAACCCAAGCAGCCCTGCGGCTCACCTGTCTTTCCACCTCACCTTCCCTCGCCCCGGGGAGTGCGGGGGACCGCGAGGGGTGAC